GAATCGAACCCGGGCCCTGGGGACTACAATCCCCAGAGCGCTGTCCGCTCGGTTGCGACGATCCTGTGTGTGAGAGAGAAGGAAGAGGGGGAGAGGGGGAGAGACAATAAGTGGTGGGGGGGGGGGGAGAGGAAGATAAGAGAGGGAAGGAGTTGTGGAATGGTATGGGTAAAAGCCATGTGATGGTAGAAGGTAGATGAGGGTATGGTCAGTTATGGAACGGAAGGATGAGTTATAGGAGGGAGGGGTCAGTTATGGAAGAGGAAGGGGAAGTTATGGAAGAGGAAGGGTCAGTTATGGAAGGGGTGATTTTCTTATCAAAGGGAAAGGAAGGTTAAGGTCTAAAAGTTATGATCAAAACCATAGTATGGGATGGAGCATGGGACGGGAGAGGGAGCATGGGACGGGAGAGGGAGCATGGGACGGGTGAGGGAGCATGGGAGGGGAGAGGGAGCATGGGACGGGTGAGGGAGCATGGGACGGGTGAGGGAGCATGGGAGGGGAGAGGGAGCAGTGAGGGTGCATGGGACGGGTGAGGGAGCATGGGACGGGTGAGGGAGCATGGGAGGGGAGAGGGAGCATGGGATGGGAGAGGGAGCATGGGACGGGTGGAGCATGGGGGGTGAGGGAGCATGGGACGGGAGAGGGAGCATGGGACGGGTGAGGGAGCATGGGAGAGGGAGCATGGGACGGGAGAGGGAGCATGGGATGGGTGAGGGAACATGGGACGGGAGAGGGAGCATGGGAGGGAGAGGGACGGGACGAGGGAGCATGGGAGGGGAGAGGGAGCATGGGACGGGTGAGGGAGCATGGGAGGGGGAGAGGGGAGCATGGGACGGGTAGAGGGAGCATGGGACGGGTGAGGAGCATGGGACGGGAGAGGGAGCATGGGACGGGTGAGGGAGCATGGGAGGGGAGAGGGAGCATGGGACGGGTGAGGGAGCATGGGACGGGTGAGGGAGCATGGGAGGGGGGTGAGGGAGCATGGGAGGGGAGAGGGAGCATGGGACGGGACGGGTGAGGGAGCATGGGACGGGTGAGGGGTGAGGGAGCATGGGACGGGAGAGGGAGCATGGGACGGGTGAGGGAGCATGGGAGGGGGTAGAGGGAGCATGGGACGGGAGAGGGAGCATGGGACGGGTGAGGGAGCATGGGACGGGTGAGGGAGCATGGGACGGGTGAGGGAGCATGGGACGGGAGAGGGAGCATGGGACGGGAGAGGGAGCATGGGACGGGTGAGGGAGCATGGGAGGGGAGAGGGAGCATGGGACGGGTGAGGGAGCATGGGACGGGTGAGGGAGCATGGGAGGGGAGGGAGCATGGGACGGGTGAGGGAGCATGGGAGCATGGGACGGGTGAGGGAGCATGGGAGGGGAGAGGGAGCATGGGACGGGAGAGGGAGCACGGGTGAGGGACGGGTGAGGGAGCATGGGACGGGTGAGGGGAGAGGGAGCATGGGACGGGAGAGGGAGCATGGGACGGGTGAGGGAGCATGGGACGGGAGAGGGAGCATGGGACGGGAGAGGGAGCATGTGAGGGGTGAGGGAGCATGGGAGGGGTGAGGGAGCATGGGAGGGGAGAGGGAGCATGGGACGGGTGAGGGAGCATGGGACGGGAGAGGGAGCATGGGACGGGTGAGGGAGCATGGGAGGGGAGAGGGAGCATGGGACGGGTGAGGGAGCATGGGACGGGTGAGGGAGCATGGGACGGGAGAGGGAGCATGGGACGGGTGAGGGAGCATGGGACGGGAGAGGGAGCATGGGACGGGAGAGGGAGCATGGGACGGGAGAGGGAGCATGGGACGGGTGAGGGAGCATGGGAGGGGAGAGGGAGCATGGGACGGGTGAGGGAGCATGGGACGGGTGAGGGAGCATGGGACGGGAGAGGGAGCATGGGACGGGAGAGGGAGCATGGGACGGGTGAGGGAGCATGGGACGGGAGAGGGAGCATGGGAGGGGTGAGGGAGCATGGGACGGGTGAGGGAGCATGGGATGGGGGGTGAGGGAGCATGGGACGGGAGAGGGAGCATGGGACGGGTGAGGGAGCATGGGACGGGAGAGGGAGCATGGGACGGGTGAGGGAGCATGGGACGGGTGAGGGAGCATGGGAGGGGAGAGGGAGCATGGGACGGGTGAGGGAGCATGGGACGGGTGAGGGAGCATGGGACGGGTGAGGGAGCATGGGACGGGTGAGGGAGCATGGGACGGGAGAGGGGATGGGGGAGAGGGAGCATGGGACGGGTGAGGGAGCATGGGACGGGAGAGGGAGCATGGGGGAGAGGGAGCATGGGACGGGTGAGGGAGCATGGGAGGGGTGAGGGAGCATGGGACGGGAGAGGGAGCATGGGACGGGTGAGGGAGCATGGGATGGGACGGGAGAGGGAGCATGGGACGGGTGAGGGAGCATGGGACGGGTGAGGGAGCATGGGACGGGTGAGGGAGCATGGGACGGGTGAGGGAGCATGGGAGGGGAGAGGGAGCATGGGACGGGTGAGGGAGCATGGGACGGGTGAGGGAGCATGGGACGGGTGAGGGAGCATGGGACATGGGACGGGTGAGGGAGCATGGGACGGGTGAGGGAGCATGGGACGGGAGAGGGAGCATGGGACGGGTGAGGGAGCATGGGACGGGTGAGGGAGCATGGGGGGTGAGGGAGCATGGGACGGGTGAGGGAGCATGGGAGGGGTGAGGGAGCATGGGACGGGAGAGGGAGCGGGTGAGGGAGCATGGGACGGGAGAGGGAGCATGGGAGCATGGGACGGGTGAGGGAGCATGGGACGGGTGAGGGAGCATGGGACGGGTGAGGGAGCATGGGAGGGGTGAGGGAGCATGGGACGGGTGAGGGAGCATGGGAGGGGTGAGGGAGCATGGGACGGGAGAGGGAGGGTGGGACGGGAGAGGGAGCATGGGACGGGTGAGGGAGCATGGGACGGGCATGAGGGAGCATGGGACGGGTGAGGGAGCATGGGACGGGTGAGGGAGCATGGGACATGGTACGGGAGAGGGGATGGGACGGGTGAGGGGCATGGGACGGGTGAGGGAGCATGGGACGGGTGAGGGAGCATGGGACGGGTGAGGGAGCATGGGACGGGTGAGGGAGCATGGGACGGGAGAGGGAGCATGGGACGGGTGAGGGAGCATGGGACGGGAGAGGGAGCATGGGACGGGTGAGGGAGCATGGGACGGGTGAGGGAGCATGGGACGGGAGAGGGAGCATGGGACGGGTGAGGGAGCATGGGACGGGTGAGGGAGCATGGGACGGGAGAGGGAGCATGGGACGGGTGAGGGAGCATGGGAGGGGAGAGGGAGCATGGGACGGGTGAGGGAGCATGGAAGGGGAGAGGGAGCATGGGACGGGTGAGGGAGCATGGGAGGGGAGAGGGAGCATGGGACGGGTGAGGGAGCATGGGACGGGTGAGGGAGCATGGGACGGGTGAGGGAGCATGGGAGGGGAGAGGGAGCATGGGACGGGTGAGGGAGCATGGGACGGGTGAGGGAGCATGGGACGGGTGAGGGAGCATGGGACGGGTGAGGGAGCATGGGAGAGGAGATGGTTGTTGGAAAGTGATCAAGAAAATGGATCTTGGGAGGGAGCATCTTAGAGAGCGCGCGCGCACGCACACACATGGGGCCTGGTGGCTGAGTGGACCGCGCTCGGGGTCCGTATTTCTAGGTACCGGGGATTGATCTCCGGCGATGGCGGAAACAAATGGGCGGAGTTTCTTTCACCCTGATGCCCCTGTTTACGTAGCAGTAAATTGGGTACCTGGGAGTTAGTCAGCTGCTGCGGGAAGCTATCTGTGTGTGTGTGTGTGTGTGTGTGTGTGTGTGTGTGTGTGTGTGAAAAACAAACAAAATAATTGATTGACAGTTGGGAGGGGGGCCGAAGAGCTAGAGCTCAACCCCCGCAAGCACAACTAGGTGAATACACTCACATGATGTAGTGGAGGCAGACTCCATACACAGTTTCAAGTGTATATTATGTATATTTGATTAGAGTTCAATAGGCTCAGGAACCTGTACACCAGTTGATTGACAGTTGAGAGGCGGGACCAAAGAGCCAGAGCTCAATCCCCGCAAGCACAACTAGGTGAGCACATTGAACAATTGAACTGAGACTGCCATAGATGACAAAACCATCAATGTTTGAACACGTCATTGATTACAGTGGAGTACAGCTGTAGTCTTGTAAGTACACTTGGGTACACTTAAGTACACCTCACACACTTAAAGGCACATCATAGAATTCTGCTTAATGACTTGAGAATGTAGTGTGTGGAGGGAGGGACGAAGGGCAAGTCGCTGAAGCAGCACTCAAGCGCCAGTGACCAGCACTCACTGGAGCGCCAGTGACCAGCACTCACTGGAGCGCCAGTGACCAGCACTCATTGGAGCGCCAGTGACCAGCACTCACTGGAGCGCCAGTGACCAGCACTCACTGGAGCGCCAGTGACCAGCACTCACTGGAGCGCCAGTGACCAGCACTCACTGGAGCGCCAGTGACCAGCACTCACTGGAGCGCCAGTGACCAGCACTCACTGGAGCGCCAGTGACCAGCACTCACTGGAGCGCCAGTGACCAGCACTCACTGGAGCGCCAGTGACCAGCACTCACTGGAGCGCCAGTGACCAGCACTCACTAAAACTTGCACCCTTACACCAATAATAATAATGATAAAGTCAATTGGTGGCATGCGAGGGACTGGAACCCTGGACGTGGGTACTGGCAGCCGCGCACCACCACCACCACATGGTGTAAGGTACACACTCTGGGGCTCCACAGGACGTCTCCAGCCGTCAACTAGCGTGCACACTCTACACTTAATGGATGACGTACACAAATACGGTAACAATAATATGTTGTATAAGAGAGTAAAGCCGGAGGCGGTGAAGGGTAAGGAGGAGGTGGCCAGAGGGCCGCGTGTGGCCGGAGGAGGAGGAGGAGGTGGCGAGAGGGCCGCGTGTGGCCGGAGGAGGAGGAGGAGGAGGAGGTGGTACTTACTCTTCTTGGGCAGGCAGGGGTGGCCGCTGGGCGCCGGGTGGGGGGAGTCGACGGCCAGGCTGGTCACTTCACTCACTGCTCCACCGTTGTACCTGTGGAGCACCGGGTCACAGGTCACTGCTCCACCGTGGGGGGGGGGGGGGGGGGGGAGGGGGCAGGGGGCACAGGTCATATCATACACATATTCACTTCACTGGACCAGGTTATTAAGACAATAAAGGTGCGACAGACACACACTCAACCTACAAATTACATGCAAAAGCTTTAAAGTATTCTAAAGTATAATTGTATTGGTTATACTGGTGATGTTGTATATCTTAATTAAGTACTAATATTGGGGGACTGGTTACTGCCACCCACACTGTGGGCGGCAGTAATCAGTAGAGGGGCGGCCAGCCACCCACACCATGGGCGGCAGTAATCAAGGTAGAGGGGCGGCCAGCCACCCACACCATGGGCGGCAGTAATCAAGGTAGAGGGGCGGCCAGCCACCCACACCGTGGGCGGCAGTAATCAGGTAGAGGGGCGGCCAGCCACCCACACCATGGGCGGCAGTAATCAAGGTAGAGGGGCGGCCAGCCACCCACACCATGGGCGGCAGTAATCAAGGTAGAGGGGCGGCCACCCACACCGTGGGCGGCAGTAATCAAGGTAGAGGGGCGGCCAGCCACCCACACCATGGGCGGCAGTAATCAAGGTAGAGGGGCGGCCAGCCACCCACCCCGTGGGCGGCAGTAATCAAGGTAGAGGGGCGGCCAGCCACCCACACCATGGGCGGCAGTAATCAAGGTAGAGGGGCGGCCAGCCACCCACACCATGGGCGGCAGTAATCAAGGTAGAGGGGCGGCCAGCCACCCACACCGTGGGCGGCAGTAATCAAGGTAGAGGGGCGGCCAGCCACCCACACCATGGGCGGCAGTAATCAAGGTAGAGGGGCGGCCAGCCACCCACACCGTGGGCGGCAGTAATCAAGGTAGAGGGGCGGCCAGCCACCCACACCATGGGCGGCAGTAATCAAGGTAGAGGGGCGGCCAGCCACCCACACCGTGGGCGGCAGTAATCAAGGTAGAGGGGCGGCCAGCCACCCACACCATGGGCGGCAGTAATCAAGGTAGAGGGGCGGCCAGCCACCCACACCATGGGCGGCAGTAATCAAGGTAGAGGGGCGGCCAGCCACCCACACCGTGGGCGGCAGTAATCAAGGTAGAGGGGCGGCCAGCCACCCACACCATGGGCGGCAGTAATCAAGGTAGAGGGGCGGCCAGCCACCCACACCATGGGCGGCAGTAATCAAGGTAGAGGGGCGGCCAGCCACCCACACCATGGGCGGCAGTAATCAAGGTAGAGGGGCGGCCAGCCACCCACACCATGGGCGGCAGTAATCAAGGTAGAGGGGCGGCCAGCCACCCACACCATGGGCGGCAGTAATCAAGGTAGAGGGGCGGCCAGCCACCCACACCATGGGCGGCAGTAATCAAGGTAGAGGGGCGGCCAGCCACCCACACCATGGGCGGCAGTAATCAAGGTAGAGGGGCGGCCAGCCACCCACACCATGGGCGGCAGTAATCAAGGTAGAGGGGCGGCCAGCCACCCACACCATGGGCGGCAGTAATCAAGGTAGAGGGGCGGCCAGCCACCCACACCATGGGCGGCAGTAATCAAGGTAGAGGGGCGGCCAGCCACCCACACCATGGGCGGCAGTAATCAAGGTAGAGGGGCGGCCAGCCACCCACACCATGGGCGGCAGTAATCAAGGTAGAGGGGCGGCCAGCCACCCACACCATGGGCTGCAGTAATCAAGGTAGAGGGGCGGCCAGCCACCCACACCATGGGCGGCAGTAATCAAGGTAGAGGGGCGGCCAGCCACCCACACCATGGGCGGCAGTAATCAAGGTAGAGGGGCGGCCAGCCACCCACACCATGGGCGGCAGTAATCAAGGTAGAGGGGCGGCCAGCCACCCACACCATGGGCGGCAGTAATCAAGGTAGAGGGGCGGCCAGCCACCCACACCATGGGCGGCAGTAATCAAGGTAGAGGGGCGGCCAGCCACCCACACCATGGGCGGCAGCAGTCAAGGTAGAGGGGCGGCCAGCCACCCACACCATGGGCGGCAGTAATAGGTAGAGGGGCGGCCAGCCACCCACACCATGGGCGGCAGTAATCAGGTAGAGGGGCGGCCAGCCACCCACACCATGGGCGGCAGTAATCAGGTAGAGGGGCGGCCAGCCACCCACACCATGGGCGGCAGTAATCAGGTAGAGGGGCGGCCAGCCACCCACACCATGGGCGGCAGTAATCAGGTAGAGGGGCGGCCAGCCACCCACACCGTGGGCGGCAGTAATCAGGTAGAGGGGCGGCCAGTCACCCACACCGTGGGCGGCAGTAATCAAGGTAGAGGGGCGGCCAGCCACCCACACCATGGGCGGCAGTAATCAGGTAGAGGGGCGGCCAGCCACCCACACCATGGGCGGCAGTAATCAGGTAGAGGAGCGGCCAGCCACCCACACCATGGGCGGCAGTAACCAGGTAGAGGGGCGGCCAGCCACCCACACCATGGGCGGCAGTAACCAGGTAGAGGGGCGGCCAGCCACCCACACTGTGGGCGGCAGTAACCAGGTAGAGGGGCGGCCAGCCACCCACACTGTGGGCGGCAGTAATCAGGTAGAGGGGCGGCCAGCCACCCACACCATGGGCGGCAGTAACCAGGTAGAGGGGCGGCCAGCCACCCACACCGTGGGCGGCAGTAACCAGGTAGAGGGGCGGCCAGCCACCCACACTGTGGGCGGCAGTAATCAGGTAGAGGGGCGGCCAGCCACCCACACCATGGGCGGCAGTAATCAGGTAGAGGGGCGGCCAGTCACCCACACCATGGGCGGCAGTAATCAGGTAGAGGGGCGGCCAGCCACCCACACCATGGGCGGCAGTAATCAGGTAGAGGGGCGGCCAGCCACCCACACCATGGGCGGCAGTAATCAGGTAGAGGGGCGGCCAGCCACCCACACCATTTTGTAAGTCCAAAGTAATTTTTCATGCTATCTTCGTGAGGAACCCAGAAGGTCCGTGCCCACAAGCGTTCGCTCAACCCCACAACACTTCATTCACTCCTCCTTCAAACACACGAACATTCAAACCAAACCAAAAAAACACAAGCAAATCACAATCCCTGAAGAATACAAAAAGATAATTCCCGTTCTCCAATACAAAGATAAAATCAGATATTTAAAGCAAAGTGAAATGGAACAACCCGGACGGAAGGTGAGGAGAGAGGGAGAGAGAGAGGGAGAGGGAAGTGAGAGAGAGAGGAGGGAGGAGGGGCGGAAACCACCGCTGGGACTAATAAGTAAAAGCCACGGAGGAGGGTTGTTTAACAGAGGAAGTAATCGGGTAATTGATTAGGGTGAGATTAAGCATGTCAACAAGACAATTTCTCAAGGAGTGATAAGTAGGTCTCTAATACCCCGTCGCTCGCTCACTGTCCTGTGGGGGAAAGAATTACCTTGTTGGCACTCTAAGAGTTCCCGCCCAGACACTACGCTCCCTTCTCCTTTATTTCTACCAAGCTTTGTTTTCCTTAAGCACGAATTATTCTTTTTTTCTTATGTATTCAACTTTCAAACAACATTTTGAAAACACTTGAAAGTCAGCCGGAAAAGAAAATATCAAGTCCTTAAAAGGACTCTGACGAGAGACATTAGAAGTAAAAAAATATTATCGTAACATTCTTGTGAATTTCTTAAACTCTTGCCATTTTTTTATTTTCTATTTTGGTCAAAATCTACGAAAGAAAACGAGCGCGAGAAGAGCCTTTGGCGGCTCCCGCGCCATTTTCCGTTCTCTATTAATCTGGCAGTGGATGCATTAGGAAAATTGTTGCCGCTGAGAAAAATGGTCTCCGTGTTGCTATTCACACACAAAAATTTTCCCACCAATTTGTAACGTGGCTGAGAAATCAATCCAGATAATTAGAACGAAGAACATCCTTCCGTCTCAAGTCTTAGAGAAATTCTTTTTTGGGTTAATCCACGCTTTGCCGTTCTGAGCGGCATCCATCAGGACCGCTCATCAGGTGATGCTCTCTCCCTGGGGCCTCTGAGGGACGTCCATCAGGACATACTGCCTCTGAGGGGCGTCCATCAGGTCATACTGCCTCTGAGGGGCGTCCATCAGGCCGTACTGCCTCTGAGGGGCGTCCATCAGGTCATACTGCCTCTGAGGGGCGTCCATCAGGTCATACTGCCTCTGAGGGGCGTCCATCAGGTCATACTGCCTCTGAGGGGCGTCCATCAGGTCATACTGCCTCTGAGGGGCGTCCATCAGAACATACTGCCTCTGAGGGGCGTCCATCAGGACATACTGCCTCTGAGGGGCGTCCATCAGGACATACTGCCTCTGAGGGGCGTCCATCAGGACATACTGCCTCTGAGGGGCGCCCATCAGGCCATACTGCCTCTGAGGGGCGTCCATCAGGCCATACTGCCTCTGAGGGGCGTCCATCAGGCCATACTGCCTCTGAGGGGCGTCCATCAGGTCATACTGCCTCTGAGGGGCGTCCCTAAGGGGGTGTCCCTGTGAGGGGAGGAGGGGCGTGGAGTTTATTTGTTAAGAATTTTAACTAATATAGAATTTATAACCTGGCAGCAAGCGTCGCGACCCACCAGCAAACTTCAGGGCAAGTTTACAATAATTTACCACCAAACATGCATACAGTTTACTTTAATTACGACCGCGTCACATACAAACTCTACATTCATTAAAGCTCACCAGTGACACAATACCATGAGAAGCGGAACATATTGTTAATTCAATGGTTATTGAGGTGTGGGAGCCTCGCTGGAAGGTCTTGCCTTTGAGGCCCAGCCAGTTCAATATCCCGCCATTGTTTCCTCACTTGGCGCCCGCTGTGAGTTGACGAACAATCTGACATATTGACCCGAGTGAATTGTTGTCACATCCACTCTCACTTGTTTCATAACAATGCGCAGGAATGCGAGGGAGGGAGGGAGGGAGATCTTTCATACTGGCGAATATTTTTTTTCATCTAGGAGTGTTCAGAGGCGCTGCTGGGGCACTGGCGGGCCCCAGGAGTGCTGC